GTTCGCACCATTTTCAGACCACAAGTTTACTGATGACTGTAATCATACCAACTGCTTGATTGAATGACTATGGGTCCTCCATGTTTTTTTAAATGAGCCTGAGCCGGATCACAGTCTTAGCACGAACCAGCTGTTAATTGCAATTGCTGGAAGGAAAGAGTGTTTACTATTGCACAGTTACCATATCAAAATATTTGCACTCTGATTTGCAGTTTACTCCAAAAAAAACACAAAATGAAAACACAAATTGCCGTGATTCTAGGTATGGTTGATTTGTTTTCTGAAACTCGGAGTTGAAATCCCAATCTCAGCAAAAACTTTGCTAAAATAGCCCAGATTACTGACATATGCCTTTCCAAAATATATGCACTTTCCTATTTGCATAATACTTAGGGGCAGAAAAATGCAAAACTTTTGTATACATAACCAGGGGAGCAGAAATGTCAATAGCTACTGTTAGGCTTTTTATTGCTGAGTGTAATACTGTAAGTGCATTGTGTGCAAAGAGGATTGTTAGGAATGACTTGGAACTGTACCTTGCCCCTGACAGTGTAAAGTGAAGAGGCACTGAGGTGGCCCTAGGTGATACCGGAGAGGGAGCACAAGCTTTTCGTACTGGTGCCCGTCCATACCTTTTAGATTGGTATCCTTCCAAACTGACCTAAGTGTGTGCCGTTGGGACATTAGATTGTGAGTTCCTTTGAGGGACAAGGGCTGATGTGAATAGTTATATGTAGTCTGTAAATATATGTTGACAAGATATAAGTAGGGAAATAAAATAGTAGAGCTGCAATCAATTAATCGATTAATTGATAATGATAATAGTTGCAACTATTCTCATTATCGATTAGTTGGTTGGATCCCCTAGCTCTCTCCTCCACCCTGGGAGGAGGGCACAGCAAGCAGTGAGCGGATGCAATAGCCAGCCTGCTATTGACTATTACACCAGCCCACTACCTGCTGTACTTACATTTAGCTGCCGTATGCAGAATCTTGCCACTGGCAGCTGTCATTCCTTGGCTGAAGCTATTCAAGTGTCATGTGCTTACAATACAATTATTAAAAAAATAAATGATAAAAGGTGGGGAAAAAAGTGATTTTCGGTTTCGGCCTGACAAATTCTGTTGCTGGAGGGTTGTTGCAGTGCCAACCATTTCAATGGCACCTCAAACACACCTCCTGCCCACAGTGTGATCGCCCGCCCTGGAATGCATGGTACCGCAATGCCGTGCTTTCCAGTGCAGCACAATTGCAAGATTGTGCATGCAGTTTTATTCTGAAGTAAACTTTGTTTGCAACACTGGATTTGTGTATTTTATTTTAAATTAAGGATGGTATTTATTACATTTTTTCTATCCGATTAATAATAATTAAAAATAATCGTCTAACTAATCAATTCTAAAATTAATAATTCGCTGCAGCCTTATAACCTAGTCACTGTTTGCACCTGACTGACCCCTATGAGGGTTTGGTAAGATGTGGGTTGTAGAATCTACATTTGACTTCAGAAGGCTTCCTTCTGATGAAGACCTGTACCCAACAATCTTAAATTGTATAATTGAGAATATCAAGAACACTGGCAGATGCTGTACATATACTTCTGCAGTCCTGATCTAACACAACCCATTTGCTCTGGTAAACGTCCTTTATCCTCTCTGCTTCTGAGGCTTCTACTTTCCTATGTGTTTAATGATTCCCCCATTAAAGTCAGTAAGTTTTTGCCCCTAATTTGAAACTTGGGAGCAAAAATGAGAGGAGAGTGTAAGAGTAACTTTGCTAAGCTTGATCTGAGAACTAGAGCTGCAAAGGTAAGTGTATTTCCCCTCCTCCCTCCACTCAAAATGACGTTAGACCTGGTTGGAGACCTTTTTTTTATATGTGGACCTTAAGCCAAAAGCCTTTGTCCCCATTTTCACCTTACTGCAGACTCTAGACAAGTGCCGTTATTTCCTGTGGGCTGACTTGTTCTGTTAATGCTGCATGTGTCTGATTTACAATGGCTATAAGATGTATAGAAACCAGCCATGGACATACCGGGCACCGCAGAGGAGCATTTCTTGATTCTGGAGGTACTGTGTTCCCTAGACTTTTTTTATTCAGAGTCCATGAAGGGGAAGCGTTCTAATCCTTTCAGGGTCTAATACTGCTGAGTTTTTTTTTAAGCCATATGTACCATATAGCTGCTGTTCTTTCTCTTTTAGTTTAATACCCTTCTGGAGATGTGGTCTCCAGATCTGATGGCAGTTCTCCAGATGTGGCCAAACTAGAGATCTGAATCTTTAACATTCTCTTTCTGCTGGTAATGTCCCTTCCTATACACCCCATACCGCTGCCTTCACCCATTGTCTGATTGCATTGCTTGCTCACGTTCCAGGCTTAAAAAAAATCCTAGATGATCATGGTGTGTACATACTAACCTGGTGCATACATCTTCAGCTTCAAAGTTCTGGTTCAAAAGTGCTTTTCCCATAATATTTGTAGACCCAATAACCTATAAAACTATCTCTATGGATAAAATTTAGGAACCTCAGCAGGATAAAACCAGTACTTTAGAGCTGTATATTGGAGGATCCAGGATGCAATGGTTAGTGTAGATTATACCTCCTTTGTCCTCCTCCAGGATGTTCTCTTAGATAGGCCAACATAATGGATATTTCTTGTGATTTTTGAAATTTGAGGACCAAAAACATAAAGTGACACTAAACTCAGGAGTTAAATTATAAAAATACATTCAAGTACCTTAACTATTTAAAAAAATGTATCTTATTTGTGTATCACTCGGCTGTAGATCTTCAAATCATCTCTGAATTGTTGCTGACACTGTCCGTCCTTCTGGAGGGTGGCTACTTTTGTTCCCCATGGTCCCTGTGTGTGTTGTAAAGTAGTCACCGCTCCAAGCTCACTCCCGTGATGGACTACAATCTCAACACAAATTAGTAAACTAAACCTGAGATTGTAGTCCCTCACGGGAGTGAGCTTGGAGCGGTGGCTACTTTACAACACACACAGTGACCATGGGGAACAAAAGTAGCCCCCCTCCAGAAGACAGGACAATGTCAATATGAATTCAGAGATGATTTGAGGATCTACAGCCAAGTGCTATACAAATAAGGTGCATTTCGTTAATAGTTAAGGTACTTCATTGCATTTTTAAGGTTTAACGTGCGAGTCTAATGTCACCTTAACTTTTGGGTAGAACTGGCGTACATGAATCATTTTATTGTCAAATCATTGAAAGATCATTTTTTTAACCAGCATGCACTGGCTGGTACAAATGGGTGGCATCCTTAAAGAGTGCCACATTCAGGACTGGCATATCTCTACATAACTGATTATTAGTGAGAGATCACCCAGAATTGTAAAGTCTACCCAATGAACAGCCAACCAAATGGAGCCAGTTGTGTGCAATTATTTTATCTCAATACATAGGTTGAGGGCACCAGGTTTCACCACATTATAGCAGATATTTAGTGAAATGCATCAATACAATTCTGATATAACATAATAATAATAATTTGTATGAACTTTTTTAAGCTGTCAACACATTTGTAAGTCCCTCCAGAAAGCATTGGGGTTCCATTACCTCTGCAACACTGTATAAGAGTATCACCACTTTTCTGAGTTTAGAGCTTCTGCATCCAGGCTGCATGATGGAAATCATGTGAGGTTTTATCTCTGCTTTCTCACTCCTATAAGGGACTTTGAAAAGCTCCCAGTGCCTGAAGCACGTAATGATAAAAGCACTTTGCAATGCATTAGAGACTGGATACAAAGGAGACACACTCACTTTCTTATGCGCATGAATGATGGTGTTCAGGGATTATGGGAAATACATTTAAATATATACATATACTGTATCTTGCAGCTAATTGTATTAGTAGTATTACAAAATACATTTCACAAGTTTTGAATGACTGTATTGTAGGGCTTTAGATGTGTTTTAACATTTGCTCGGAGTCCTGCTTTAAATACCATCTTTCTTCAGTAGAAAAAATGTTGTGTCCCTCTGGCCAAAAGGTTTTAATTTTGCACTTTTGGAGTAGGAAATATTTAGAATTCCTCTTAGGTTTCTGGTGTATTTGTCCCATTAGGGAGGTTTTTCTTACTTTCTGTCTTGGAGACAAAATGGGAAGTGAATGGGAATCCTTCCAAAGTAAGAATTGCAGGACTGCAGGTAAGGTGACCTCTTCCCATGAGTATCAGCAATGGTCACCAGGACAAAGAGAGTGGGTCATAGATGGCAATAAAACCCAGACAGGCTCTTAACCTTCTACACTCTATCCATGAATAATTAAAGCATAACCTAGACACACTTAAGCTGGTCATACACATGGCAGTTTGGTAGAGCATTGGAATTTTTCAATTTTTGTGTGGAAATAGATCATCTGGAAGCAGATGCTATTGAAATTGACCAGATCAAGCCCAGTGGAATAATCTGGTCGCTTTAAAAGACATTGACGTAGTTTTTCCATTTGTACTGAAGCTGTCCGTTTACTGCCCAGTCTTGACTTCCAAATTGTCCAAATTCTGTTGGCCGATTGAACTTGTGGGTGGTAGAGTTTATGTTCATTAGTTGAGATCATCTGTGCATTTACTGGAGCATGGAAAGTGATTGAAATTGACTAAAAATTCCCCCGTACATGGCCTAACATTAGATCAGATCAAGGCCATCCGCAAGCAGCATTTGACATATTTGTATTTTCAAGGCTGGGATGTTGATCACTCACCTTAATCAGTTTTTATGGGGATCAAAATCAGGTTGGAAATTGCTAGAAAATTGCTTGTGTGTATGGCCGGTATAGACTGCTTTTTCAATACCCATTTTAATTGCTTGTGCAACTCTGAAACTGCCATCTGTGCGCTTATTTCATCCTAAATGTCCTTACCTGCCATTCAAGCTTTGTTAAGCCCGAAGGCTAAGCTACTCTGTGAATAGCTTTTTTGGTGCTAATGTCTGTGTCTGTGTGCTGCAGCTAAAACTAAACTATTCTGTGTTTTAGGTGTATTACCCAAACCTGGGCTGGATGTGTGTTGATGCCACTGACCCACACAAAGGAAACTGGCTGCGCTATATAAACTGGGCTCGCTCAGCAAAGGAGCAAAACCTCTGCCCTTTGGAGATTAACAGGGCAATATACTACAAGACCCTCAAGGTAGGCGACCACTTTTATTAGAGTTCATGCATTTTCGTTTCCAGCATTGTTTTATGTAGTGTATATAATGAGTTACTGAATACTGTTCCTTCCCTTCATTGTACTGCATTAACCCTTTTGCTTTTGCTTTTTTTGTTTTTTTGCACACGCTATAATCCACATTTTGGGCCTGACAATTAATTACACACCCCACAATTATATATTGCCTAAAAGCAGAGACCTTTTAGAATAAAATAGCGGAAAGTGCAAAATTTTATGTTGCATAATAATAGCGCAGCTCTTTAACAAACGCAAAATCTCAGTATATTGTCACAGGTCGGCTAGAACTATGAGGTGAGTGAAAAGCACTCACCTCATAGTTCTCCTTTAAAGCCCGTTTCCATCTTTGTGGAAGTATTTTTCAAAAAACATATGCCGTACATGTAGTAAACATATGCAATTGCTGTATATGAACACAGGAACTTACTTTTTTGTTAGCCATCCTCTTCATCTTCTTTATGGCTCCTTTTGAAATGTCCACCTCTGTGTTCTGCAGGCAGTCTGGGTAAATTATAGGCTGCTGTGCACACTGGGAACTACAATGTAGGGCATGGAAAACTAAATTTCCCATAATGCTATGCCTCCCTCGGGCACAAGCTTCTCTGTAGAAACTGAGCTCTCTCTGTGAGCTCTCTCCTCATTCATTAATATTCATAGTGGCAGAGTGACCTGGGGAGGCAGGGCTGGTATGCAGTGATCTTATTATAAAGACTCACAGGGGGGTCAGCTGCTATATATAAGTCCATAAAAAAAAAAAGCCTGCAATGTGAGTCAGGAAAATGTACCCACATATAAATCATCACTGCACCTCTATATTACCGCAATAAATGCTAATTACTTACAAAGGGGGAAATGAGCTCTAAGTTAATGCATGAAAACACAATATAATACCCATTTTGTATTTAATATATAAAATATGAGGTTATGCCAAGTACAGTACATAGATACCCATGATGCCAAGCTTAAAAATTGCTTGACCAATGAAATGTCCATAGGAGGCACTTTAAAAGCCTGTACAGGTCATCAGTTTAGAGTTAACAGATATAACAAAATGCTTTCAACTGTATGTTTTACAGACCAACATAGACTAAATCTATACCCATAAATATAAGTTTATGGGCAAACCTATTGACACACATTTTAACTGCAGTTATACACATGCAGTATAAAATAGCTGTGTTGTGTCTGGACCCTGAAGACCTGCACCCAAGGGTGTTAAAAAAAAAAGGATCTGTGTACTCATTCCTGACCTCTGCCAAGTCCTCCCTAAACAAATTGCAGGGTTCCTTGGCATTCCCTTTGTTTGGGAACTGCATTCCCCAGTGCATTGCATGCACCATCGAGGCCACAAATATCCTACAGGCACTTTTTGCCCACACCCCTCCTCTATACCAGGAGTGTGTTTTCTTCCTGATCCAGCCCCTGTGTATACAGATCCTAAGTTTAATTATAGAGCTCCGCTGTATACTGAAAGCTTATAATTTCCATCTCTGCCATCCTGTTATTGTAAGAATGGGCAGTAAAATAATCTTCCTTATTTAAGTCGTGTTGGAGATGTAGAAACAAGGAGTACTGGGGGATGTTTTTAAAACTTGCACAGGCTAAGAACCAAACATTAATTATTATAATACCCAACTACATAATTGTGATGGTTCTGTAGGTATATTATCAAATTAACATATTTTCATTAAAAGAGAACTATGGGGTAAACTTTTTATCCCATAGTTCTCTTTATGGTCACGGGAGCACATATACTAACGTTCTCCCATGACCCAAAGCTCAGTATATAGCGGGCTGAGGGGTGATGTTCCCCCTCACCCTGAAAAAACGGGAAAAAGAACGTGGGGTCCCCCCTAAAATTTCTAACCAGGCCCTTGATCCGAGCAGAGGCCTGGCAGAGCAGGAAAGGGGGGGGGGGGCGAGCGTCCCCTACCCGCTGCACCATACTAGACCACATGCCCTCTGCACTGGGAGGGTGCTTTTCCAGGTTCCCCACTGGAAAAGAGCCTTGACCCCGTGCCGATGGGAACAAGGGCCTCTTCCCCTCAAGCCCTGACCTGTTGGTTGTGGTGGTCTGCGGGCAGGGGGCTTATTTGCATCGGGGTACCCCTTTAATTAAGGGGTACCCAGATGCGGCCCCTATGGCTGTATGCTGTCCCCTCTAAAGCCCTCCTTTCCCTCTCTTTCAAGTAGCCGCCAGTGGTATTTTATGCTTTTATTTTATAACCTACCTTTTTCCAATATCTTCTTGCTGGTCATATGACATGCCAGGTCCTCTTCGGTCTTCTATGGGTGGTGGATGATGCAGAGCGGCACTGATGACATCAGTTCTGCTCTCTGCACCAATATACTGTGAATGTGGGGTGCCATTCTCAAGGGTAGGGATATGATGCCCTACACAAGCAGTGTTTCCTTAGTCTTCCAAACAGATTTTTCTAAGACAAGTTGAGGAAAGTAGTGTTCACACATTGAAATTCAAATGTATGTGCATTTACCTGGCAGTAAAAGTCTGGGGAGGTCATGAAAACGATATATATAGAAGGACTCAAATATTTTGTTATCACTGAGGCCTTGTTCACACCAAATGCAGAGCAGATCCGGTCAGGTTTCTGCACACGCACGCTAGTCTTTTAGATGCGCTTTTGAAGCGTTTTGGTTTAAACTTTTTTTTTTTTTAAAGTTTTTAAAATGGGATTTTAGTGCGTTCCAGGCATTTGCATGCATTTTGAATGCATTTTTGATGCGTTAGCAGATCCAGAGCAAATCCAGAGCAGGTAAAATAGGGCCTGCTGCAGTTTTTTCACCTGCTCTGGACCTGCTCTGGAACTGCACGCTGCGATGTGAACTGGAGCAAAAAATACCATTGGAATACATTGGACGCAGTTTTGATCCGGTCTGCAACTGCTCTGCTCTGCTCTGCACCTGCTCTGCGCTTGGTGTGAACAAGGCCTGAGTTTTGTTGTCTGGCCTATTTAATTACAAATGGTCCTGTATGGAGTTTATGACAACTTTACTTCCTGTGCTAGTTAATTGTTCTTTGATTACAACAAGAAAAGCCCTGTTAATCTTTTACAATAAATATCTCCATGTGGGGGTCAAAGTACAGTTTTGGCAATTAAAATACTATATTTTAACCGCCTGGTAGTAAAACATTTGTAGCAGATACCATGCCGAGCCATAGGGGGATATTTCAGTGCATGTACTCGGATCAGTTTCCCAGAACTTGAGCCATCCCTGTGTGAAGGATGGAACTGCCTCCTCAGCTGCAATGTCTGTACTTGGGATGCCAATCACAACCCTGCAGCTCGCGGCTATTGCGTAAGAGTGGTCATTCACCAAGGTCATTTGTTCCTATCTTTTATACTGCTCAAGCAAGCAACCATGTCCTAAAATGTATATACAGTACTGTTAATCCCACCAGAGCTCAAATTTTATTACTATATAATAGACATATGTCATAAATGTATCTAAAATTATTCAGGATATATGGCGATGTCACACCTGTACAAATATTTGTTTTTTAGGAGTAGTGATGTCACACCCCTAAAAATATAATTTATGTAATTTTCGTATAGACCTGTCACTCAAATATAGCAAGTTACCCCCTAGCTTGGCTGGGTCTTAATGGAAACCTCTTCTAGGAGAAATGTGGAGGGAACCATTGCTGAGCACCCTCTGAAATGCTAGTTGCCTGTTATGCTGGTCCTCTGACCTGTATATGTATGCTGGTAATATTATATGTATGTCAGTAAGCCAGGGCGGCACGGAAAGAGTTAATAAGTCTTGGCTAACTGATATCGTTCACTAACAAAAGTCATAGTTGTCCCTCCTTGCAGCCCGGGTTAAAGGTAATTTGCAATGCACTGCACCTATGTGACTGAGACAGATTAAGGAGTAAAGGACAGAGAAGTAACTCCTGCCCATACAAGCCTGTTAGATGCGGATGTCATTTTTTAACCTGAAGTAGATGCCAGTTAGTATCTGATCAGCTGATATGGGCAATGCAGATGTATTAAACATATCTATGTTGCCCCTAGTCACAAGACATTTCTCTCTTAATAAAATGACACTAAACCTTAAAAATGCATTCAAGTACATTAGCGAAAATGATTCTTATTTGTGTATCACTCGGCTGTAGATCCTCCAATCATCTCTGAATTGGTGCTGACACTGTCCTTCCTTCTGGAGGGGGGCTACTTTTGTTCCCCATGGTCCCAGTGTGTGTTGTAAAGTAGTCACTGCTCCAAGCTCACTACAATACAGATTAGTAAACTAAACATGAGATTGTAGTCCATCACAGGAGCGAGCTTGGATATTTGACAACACACAGGGACCATGGGGAACAAAAGTAGCCCCCCGGAAGAAAGGACAGTGTCGGCACCAATTCAGAGATGGTTTGAGGATCTACAACCGAGTGATACACAAATAAGATACATTTTTGTTCATAGTGAAGGTATTTGAATGCATCTTAAAGGCCCCATTCACACACGAATCGGCCTGCACGTACAGCTCCGTGCTGCGTGCGGGGCCGTGCCAAGTAGCTGCCGGGAAGGACAGGTGCTGCTTGTGATTAGAACGCAGCCCCCGTCCTTCTCTATGGGGCTACGCGGCCGTACGACCCCCTACACTCACCTCATTTGTAGGTCCGTAGGGGTGCGGGTTTTGTGGTCGGGACGCATACATGTTCCATTCCAGCGGCGTATGGATACGATCACCCGCACCCCTACGGACCTGCAAATGAGGTGAGTGTAGGGGGGCGTACGGCCGCGTAGCCCCATAGAGAAGGACGGGGGCTGCGTTCTAATCACAAGCAGCACCTGTCCTTCCCGGCAGCTACTTGGCACGGCCCCGCACGCAGCACGGAGCTGTACGTGCAGGCCGATTCGTGTGTGAATGAGGCCTAAGATTTAACTCCTGAGTTTAGTGTCACCTTACAACTAAAAGAATGAAAACTGGAATCT